TGTGGGCTTATATGTAAAAATATCGATGACGTCACTATCTTTATATGCATTACCCTATATAATATGTAAAAGTGCGGAATTTGATAAAAAAGTGCTATTTTACCGCTCGAATAACATGCACAAGATTTTTGAATATAATGCTTTTTGACAGCTTATCAAACGAACCTCACGGCTTAGTTTCACCATCTGCCGAACGTTGAAATATTAATTCTTTTTTCATTCAATTAATGATTTTGAATCAAAAAATCATTTCATATAATTTATTTTTAATGAATAAGTGCCATAAACATTGCGTCACTCATTTAAATAAAATGCATTAATTTTGTATAATCACAGTTTTAAATAAAAAACTATTCTGATAACTCGATTTAGTCATTGCATACCTACTTAAAATTACATTTCTTCTAGTTAAATAGAATATTCAGTAAGGTTGAAACGGTAATTAATCGAGTTAATGGCTTAAAACTTATAAAAACATGTAGCTTATTTTTTTTTTCTATAATATCATTAAAAATAAGTTTTTTGACGTTTAGTTTCAGTTTAATAAAATGTAATTTTCTTAAAAGTGTGACTTTTTACAATAGTGTTACCACAGAAATACTCTCACTAATTTTATTTTGTTTTGTTTTATTGATATGAGGTAACTAGATAACTTTTATTTTAAACAATAAAGTCACACTTTTGGGGTTGTGACAGATTTTTTATTGAATAAATTTTTTATCAAATACCCAAAACTCAAGAAATAAGGTGGTAGGAACAAATCAAAACGAAAAATGATATCAACTTGATTGATATTTTTAGCAAAAATCAAGTACTATGAGACAAAGCCTATTGACTCAGAAACAAGAAACGGTATCAAATTGAAATCTTTAGTAAAAAACAAGCTTTATGAGAGGATAAGGCCTATTGATTCTAAAAAAATTCTGCGAAGAGTATAATATAGAATGCCAAGCATTATATATCTTCATTCTAGTTATTATTATAAGCATATTATACTTGCTTATTTGTTCATAGTTATATTAATTGATATATTTTTTATAATCTAATGACTAATAAAAAATCAGAAATGTAAACTTTTGACAATTGAAATTAGTATAGTCTGTAGTACTCACTGGATTAAAAATATGGGAGCTTTGATATACCAGATTGAATTTAGGAATACACCTACACACGATATGAAACAAAAAGATGGGGTTTCACCTGTATTAAATGTTAAAATGTTTGTTTTTATTCTCCCATGTTTGTTAAATTATAATTTGACTGCACTAGAAGATATAAAAATGTTTTCCGAAACATATGTAGTAAATAAATATAAATAAATAAAAACTTATTGATTAATATAACCAACGAACTTTTATTTACTTTCGCCAGATTTTTATAGTTCTTACTAGTGGAGGACAAAATAATCGATTATTTCATTCTTAATTAATTAATCGATTAGTTGATTTTTTTTTTAAAATCAATTAATCGATTGTTTTCGATTAATCGATTATTTTTGATTATTCGATTATTTTTTATTAATTAATTGTTTTTGTTTAATTATTATTTTCAATTAATCGATTATTTTCGATCAATCGATTATTTTCAATTACATCATTAATTATTTTCGATTAATCGATTATTTTCGATTTTTCAAAGATAATTTTTCATTATCAATTCTGAATTGTTACCGCGAACGTAACCTCTATTATATCTTGGTATTCCAGGTAGGGATGGGCAAAATAATCGATTGATCGATTAATTTTTTACAAAAAAATCGATTTATCAGGTAATCGATTATGTTAAATTAATCAATTATTTTCAATTAACCGATTACTTCGATTAATAGATATTTTTTGATAATCGATTATTTTTATTAATTGAATATTTATTTTGATAATGGCCCAGCCCTAGTTTTTCACCTTTTCTTCGTGAAAATTATTTCGCCCTAATATCGGAGCTTAAAAAAGGAAACTATAGTACTACAAGATAAAATGATTCATTAAATATTAATAATTAAATAAAAAAGAAATAGATCTGAAGATGGCATAAACAAGCGCCGAAAGCGCTACAAATTTTATAAACTGTAGCTTTATTTAAAAAAAAATACAACCCATGAATATCAAAAACTAAAAAATATGATTTTTATTGACAATTAAAAATAATTGCGCAAAACTGGGTAACACAGTGCTGTTCCGAAAAAAGTAAACAAAACCTACTAAGAATATGCGACTAAATAGCGAAGTAGTTGATACTGATAATACGAAAAAAATTATAAAATAATTTTGAGACAATAATTATTTCTCATTTGTTAAATAAAGTAGAATGAAGATAAAATGATTAGCATTCTATATTATACTCTCACAGTTTAAGCCCCCTTAACTGTTCATTTTTAATCGGATTTTTTTCAAAATCAAAGGGATTTGTTTACAGAGCTTCATTTTTAGTAAAAATATCAAGTTGATATCAATTTTTGTTTTTGCGTTATGATTTTTTTTTTTTATATTTCAACCAACCTTAACCCCAATTTCTATTTAGTTTTTTTAGAATCCATAGGCTTTATTCCCTTAGACATTGCTTTTTATTAAAAATATCATGTTAATATCACTTTTGGTTTTTGATTTATGATTAATTTTTTTTATTTCAACCCCCCATAACTCCCCCATTTATGAGCTTCGCCCCCTTATAGAGCTTGATTTTAAGTTTTTTTTTTTATTTATGGCCTAGGTGTATATGCCTAATATGCCAGTCTCAAGTTTGTGTTTTAAATTCTCAATCATGTGTGTTCTGTGTAGACTTTGTTACTGTTTCCCAGCGCCACTTCAGGAACAGCACTGTTAATTAAAACCCAACAGTGAATGGTCGAGTGGGGAATCCTACCAAGTAGTCCGTCAGATAGTGACAGGTGTAGGTGCCCCATTTTCGCATACAAGCCTCGAAGAGGGTTGAAAAGTACTTCGATTTTAAGTAGAATAAAAGGAAATTTACGAGTGGCTGCTGGGGATAACACATGGAAAATTCGATTTTCCTTAACAAAAATGAAAGGTTATTTGTTGCCTATTTTTCCACTCAAGCCGTTTTCACTACATGATTAATTAATAGAACTAGGCTTCAGAAAACCAAAGGCTTTAATGTTGCAAGTGGCTAAAGGGTTGAAATGAGGGCGTAATCTTCTAAGGAAAAATCGAGATTTTGCCCGATTTTTCCACACAAGCCCATGGAATGTATGAAAACGAACGTCGTCACTAGTCCGAAAAACATATTTTCTTGAATGACCCGAATGTATAAGTACATTTTGAGGTCGGAAAATTTTTCTGATAAGGAAAATCGAATTTTCCATGTGTTATCCCCAAGAGCCACTCGTAAATTTTCTTTTATTCTACTCAACATCGATGTACTTTTCAACCCTCTTCAAGACTTGTATGCGAAAATGGGGCACCAAAATCGGTCATTATCTGACGGTCTACAGTCATCAGAATTAATTTTAAATAATTAAATTAAATAAAAAAGTCCCGGACAACGGTGGGATTCGAACCTGGGACCCTTGGATCCGCAGGCAGAGACTTTACCACTTTACACTTTTTGTTTGGATTTATAATTTTTTTTTTAATTTCAACCACCCTTAACCCGCCTATTTTTAATAATTTTTTTCAGAATTAATATGCTTCGTCAATTTATAGAGCTTGATTTTTGCTAAAAAATGTCAAATTGATATCATTTTTCATTTTTGATTTCTTTTAATATTTAAATCCCACCTAATCCCCCCCATTTTTATTTAGATATGTTTTAGAATCAATAGGCTTTATCCCCTTATATAGCTTGATTTTTCTTAAAAATTTCAAGTTGATATCATTTGTCAATTTTGGGTTAGTATTTCTTTTAAAAAAGTTCAACCCCCTTAATCCCCATTTTTAATAAAAAAAAATCAGAATACAGAGCTTGATTTTTACTAAAAATTTCATGTTGATATCGCTTTTCGTTTATGATTTATTATTATTTTTTATTTCAACCCCCCTTAACCCCCATTTTTTGATAGGCTGATATTTGTAAGTGGTTTATTTGGTATTGTGAGCCTTTTCGATATTTGTAAGTGGTTTCATTTGGTATTGTTAGCCATTTGGATATTTGTGAGTGGTTCATTTACCCCTACTGCCGTCATAAGCCAAACCTCCGTAAAAAATTAAAAATATTTGAGGTTATTTGGCCATTTTGCTACTAAAGCTTTTTTTTGTTTTTTTAAAGTAAGCTAAATACCGGTGTTATTTATTCTAGATCCTAAAATGTCAACTTGATTCTACACCGTAACTAACATTTTTGTAGCAAAAGCCTTTTAACCCACTAGCCAACACAAAAACTTATTTTTAACTAGTTAAAAGCCTTATCCAAACATTTATCAAATGCAGCTATATTGGTACCACTGATAAATAATAATTTTTTTTATTGCAAATTGCTTTGCATGACGGCAGTATAAAGCTTGATTTTTCCTGAAAATTTCAAATTGATATCGTTTTTCGTTTTTAATTTCTCATTTTTTTTTATTTCACCCCTCCCCCCTTAATTCTTCATTTTTAATCAGATTTTTTCAAAATTAATAAGAATCATCCCCTTATAGAACTTGATTTTTCCTGAAAATTTCAAGTTTTTGACTTATCGCGGGGACAAAAAACGTGCCATCAGACGGACGCATATTTTTAAAATTTGATGAGAAGTATTTTGGTACCTACAAAAATTTTAAATTTCGATCAATATTAAAAATGCTGGTTTCCCCAAAGTAAACCTATATATAATACTCTCTTCACAGACTACAATGTAAGAGTATAATAATTAAAGTTGGGATGGTACTTCGACAAAAGTTAAATTTGACACTACCTACGTAAAAGAAGTAGAGTAATTAATTGAATATTGTGTACAAAACTGTGGGCACTCGGTATATTTATAATTTAATATATTAAATACTCTTTTGCTTAAAACATTTCTGTAACTTCTAACGAATTTAAATCAAAAGTAAAAGATAAACTCACCCACAAGTGCAAAGTTGGCAGATGCATTGTTCTTTCATGGGTGTTTTAATAACCGCAGGGCGAGCTGGTTCCTTTATTATCTTCTCAATAAATATTACTTTGTCATCAATTATTTTTGTAATATTTGTTTTATTTTCAACCTCTTCCTAGAAATTAAATTCTTATTTACACAAATTTAACATAGATATATAAGTGACTTACTATATTTTTTATATCAATTATATCTTCTTTAATAAAAGTTTTATTCATTACATCTGTACCAGATTTGACCACCGTTATTTTTTCTCTAGTTTCTTGATTATCAATATGGTCTTGAATATTCGTTTTCAGTTCGCTAATTGATTTCGTATCGATATTTTCATCCTTTGATATAGTGGTATAATGGTCACTCGTAATTTTTTTATCGACCACTGTTTGGAATTCATTAATTATAGACGTTTCGTTCAGAATATTTGATACATTTTCAGTACGTTCTACTTGCGATGTTGAGATCCCTGCAGGATATTGTGATGTGGTTATTAGGGAAGTTGATTTTGTAGAATAATCTTGAGGTATACTTCTACTTATCAAATTATCACTTGTTGTAATATTAGAGTTTGTAACAATTTTGTCATCAACAACTGTTTGGAATTCATTAGTTATAAACGTTTCGTTCAGAATATTTGATACATTTTCAGTACGTTCTACTTGCGATGTGGACATCCCTACAGGGTAATCTGATGTGGTTATTACGGAAGTTGTTTTTGTAGAATAATCTTGAGGTATACTTCTACTTATTAAATTATCACTTGTTGTAATATTAGAGTTTGTAATAATTTTGTCGTCGACAATAACATAATGCTCAACTAAAGTTGACTGATTAACAACAGTTTCTGTTTCAATTTTTGTATCTTTAATATCTATCACTTTTTCGGATTCTGAAGTCATGTTGTCTCGTTTTTGTAAAGTTATTGTTTGAGGTGATTCAGTTCGTTTCTTAGGTCTTGAAGGTTTTCCGGCAGCTGGCAATTTGGAATTATCTGGACCATATGGATGTGATCTGGATAAATCTTTTTTTGTAATATGATGCTGAGAGCTTTCCTTTGTATCAGAATGTATTTCATGTAATTGCCTTAAATTTTGATCTCTTTCCATTGTTAAAAAGTCTTTAGTATTTTCAGTAGGTTTAGTTGGTAACACTACTGAGGATTTTGGAGTTCCTTCATTAGGCTTTCCCTTAGAAGGAATATTTTGCGTTTTCTGACCAGCTGAAGGTTTTTCTTTTGTTGGTGATTTAGGCTTTTCAACTGTGAAGGTTCCATTCCATCCAGTCTTTCCATAATTTCTATCATTAGAGTAAATTACATCAGTATTGTCGATATTTTGATCCATTTTTATGTGGCCTTTAGTTCCAATAGTATTTTGCACGGCGTTTGTATCATATACATTACTCACAAATGTATTTTTGGAATCAACACCATGTCCATAAAAATTGTTAGAGTTTGAATCCAGCTGTGAGTTTTTAATTTTATGATATTCTTCATTAACATATTTGGTAGTAGTATCTTGTACGTGATCCTCTTCACTTACTTTTTGAGTAGATTTGCTTTTTGTATCTTTTGAATTAGATGGTTGTTTCTTAGGTGTAGAAGTTGTAGGTGCTGTAGCACCAACGTCAATACCAGTTTTCATTACATTTGCTTTTGAATCATACGTATTAGAAGTCGTAATCGTTTTTCCTAAATCTTTAGGTGTAATATTTTTTATAGTTTCACTGACGCTTGTTTTTTGATACTCACTAAAATCCATTTTATTTGTAGCATCTATTTTTTCTGTATCGATAAATTGTTTAGAAATATTTTCTGAAGTTACTGTATCAAATTTATTTGTGCTTACCACTGACTTTCCTTTGTATTGAGATTCTGGAATGGTGATGTGCTCATCTGTTCTTGAAATAACGAATGTTTCAGACCCTGAATTTGTATCAAACACATCTGTAGAAGAATGTTCTTGGTATGAAGAAGATGACTGTTTCGATTCAATATTTGACGAATCTTGTTTGACTATATTAGTTCCTTTTTTGGGTGGATTTTCGTAAGTAAATTTTCCATTCCATCCTGAATCGTTTTTATTATAAGACAATTTCAATTCTTCGCTGGATTCATTAATCGTATACGTCGATCCTGATTTTTGAGAGGTTGAATCGGTTCGATCTATGTTAGTAAACATTTTATTGGAGTTATCTAAAATGTTATTATTGGCTGAGGAAGCGTTATCTTGTGTAGCGTGTACAGTTTGTTCGTATTTCTGGTCAACTATTCTGTCTTTCCCATCTACAGATTCGATAAGATAACTACTAGAAGTACTTTCCTCTTTAGAAGAAGTACCTTTTTGATTAGATGTCACTTGTTCAACGTGCGTTTTTTTATCACTTTTGCTTATTTGAATTTTTGTTGTTTTATCCTTTTGTAAAGGTTTTTCGGTAACAAATTTACCATTCCATCCAGAATCATTTCTGTTATACGATAGTTTCAGTTCTTCCATGGGTTCTGTTACTGTATATGTAGAATCTGAAATTTGTGATATATTTGATGTTGAATCGTAAATATTTGCCGTTGACTGATTTAAAGTTGAACTGATTTGTTCTATTTGTGTAGAATGACTTGCTGATGAATCTTGAACAATGAAATGTCTGAATTCAGTAGAAACGGCACCAGAATCTTCATATGTCGTAATTTTTTCTCCAACTCCTGTTGGTAATTGCTCAGTTACTTTATATGAAACAATTGAAGTATTTACCGGCAAGTGGGAAATGTCAGAAATTTGTAAACTGGATGAAGAAGATGATTTAGATACATTTCCAGATTGGACAGTCTCGCTTTTTTTAGATATAACTTTGGATGTTGCAGTACTTTTACTCGTCGATGAGCTTCCGGTAGTTTTACTTGTTGATGAACTTCCAGTAATTTTATTTGTTGATGAACTTCCAGTAATTTTACTTGTCGACGAAGTTCCAATAGTTTTACTTGTTGATGAACTTCCAGTAGTTTTATTTGTAGATGAACTAGCAGCGGCAGTCTGTTTCTTTTTCGACTTACTTGTTAAATCACTTTTAGTCACTGTCATGGTTAGGCACTTTTATTATTTATTCACTAATTTAATTAAGAAGCTGTAGTAATGAACTAAGTAAACAGAAATAACGCGATTTAAAAATAATTAAATACGAACGTGTTAGCGCACTCACGATATTTTTGAAAGTAAAGAGGTGAAACAAACAAGCACCAACAGCCAGCAGGTTACGGGTGACCGCTACGTCATATCGTTGCTCCCACGTTTCGTTAAATCTTATACTTATATGGCTAGTCTGCGAGGTTCACCAAGATTCGTCACTTTCTAAAGACAAGGTACTAAGTATTCTCAATGTAATATAAACAACTTATGGTTATAAAATTGATTATAAGTCACTTGTTTCTAATCATACTTAAAAATAATAGCTGTATGAGATAACCGACTACTTAAATATTTAATATTTCCCTAAAAAAAAATATAATATATTTAAAAATATAATGAGGATGCTATTCCAATGCATAAAAATGTTTAACCTTTCTCAAGGTTTTGTATAAAACTTGCAAGCAGAATCTAATTAACATTGTCTAAATTGTTTTAATCTAAAATTATATAAATTTGAATAATAAAAGTGTAGGTCATTGCTTTGATACAGAGTGGCTCAACAAGTATATTGTCAATTTTTAAAACTGTTTATAAATTAAATTACAAACAAATAACTACAATGCAATTGATTTTAAACGGACGAGGTCTACTAGTATTTTAAATATCTATATAGTATACAAGGTGGCCAGACGAAAACGAAACAGAGTAATAATTAGTAACTGCGTCAATATTTTAGACAAATGCTCGGACCAGTCAATTTTTAATTACAGGGGATCTTTCTATAATATTCTCAACTATCATATTATCACATGTGTCACTTTAATCAATAAAAATGTAATAGGGAAGTACCAAGTATGACACATCATTGGTAAAAGGTAATATAATGGAGAACTATTGCATTACTTTTGATAAAAACTGATACATATTGTAAAGTGTGATACTTGATTTGAAAGCTAATTTTATTATTATTTTAATGCACAACATAACAAAACATGAATGAAATTAAATAATTGAAAAACGTTGCAAGGGTTCGATGTTTTTACTATACTCGGACAAAAAATTGAAGAAGGTGATTCCTCCCTGTTCACGTACAACAATAATACTATACCAGAGCATAATGAATGGAATCACGCGCTTAAAACTGCAGAAGTTATCGGTATCACATGCCAACTAGTCATAAATGCATGTTTATTGCCAAAATGAATTACGTCAGTGGCGTATAAAAACTATTGGCAAATTAAATGCGGTAATAGTAAATAATATTATATGAAAGTAGGTTGGTTATCTATTTTTGTAGTAATAATTAGTTATGTTTATAATTTTGTTTTGTTTATTGTTAAAATATGTAAATATTATGCCAGTGGCGTAGAAACACTATTGGAAAATTAAATAGGGTATTATGTTAGAACAAAATATTGAAGAAGGTGTGCCTTAAAACTGCAAAGGGTATCGTTATCATATCAAAATGAACTCTTCCAGTGTCGCAGAAATACTATATTGGCAAATTAAATGGGTATTTGTGAATATTACTAGATGAAAGTAGGTTGGTTATCTATTTTTGTTATATTAATTCGTCTATGTTTATAATTGTAGTTTGTTTATTATAAAAATATGTAAATTAAGCTTGGTATCACTTACTTGAATTCTAAATCTATGAAGTTTTGTAATCCATTGATTCTGCAGAACTATCACTGGAATTGTCTAACTACCGTTTCGATCATACCGTTCAAGCGCCACATATTATTTTCTTCCTTAATTACATGGGAAATATCATTCTGCCAATCTCCAGGTTTTATACGTTCTATACCGGTTTCTAATAAACTTTGAACGTCGGCTATTTTAAAAGTTTTATTTTCTCGAGCTACAAACCCTTTCACTTGCGCCCAAATTAGTTCAATTGAATTAGCAGTGATTAAGGGGAAGTCTTAGTACCGTAATACCACGATCACGAGCCATTGTGTCGACAACATATTGAATATATTTATGGCGGTATTCCTTTATTAGGTCCATTAATTCCACTTTAAGCATCTCCTCAGTAAATATTATTGCTTTATCCCGCAGCCAGGTTTGCATATCCGCCTTCCTACTGAACATTATCGAAGTGCGTTCAACTCGTCGACTGTGCTAAGAAGCGTTATCTAGTATAATAACTGAATTTCGTTTTACACGCTGTAATACTTCAGCAAACCATTTTTCAATGCATTCCGCATTCATGTCCTCGTGGTAGTCTCCTGTTTTTTCGATATAAACACAAGAGCGCTATTTTCCAAAAATCCACTGTCACTTCCGATATGGGTAACAATTAGGCGCTGTCCTTTACCTGATAATCTCTCTATAAAAGCTTGGCGATGACTAGTTACAGAAGTATCTTGCCATATCTTAGATACCGTGTATCCAGCATTCACCCACGTTTCATCGAGTTAGTATATCTTTTTTTAGCGGCTCTAAACTCTTTAATATTTCGTAAATAACACCGTCGTTAGGACACTATATCTAACCTCTCAATTAAAATTGATTTCCTACACCGTTTGACAAAACGAAATTTTGGGCCCCATAAAAATTTTCGTAAAGTTTCACGGCTCATTAATGAAATTTCTTCGTTTTCTCTTAATTTCGTAAGAACAACTTTAATTGTTGGGGCTTTGTTTTTGAAAAAAAAAAAAGAAAGTACAGTTCTTCGAATGATTTGTTTTTGGTTATCGTCCAATTTCAACAATTTTCGACCACGGGTATGCACTTTAGTGGCTTCTAAGGAGCCTTTTTTGTCTTTTCGCGTACAATACGTTCAATTGTTGAAACAGATACTCCAGTTAAAAAAGTACTGAGGTTTACAGCTTCATTTGTAGGAAGTGTCTGTTTCAGCCCATCATACACTTTCCATATAATGTTCTTTTCATCCTTTAATAAGGGCTTTCGCCGACGTAATTGGGTTTCACTTGGACCCGCCTCTGAATCCATTACTATTGTAACAATATAATTCTACTATTAAATTGTTTTTATTAAATTTATAAAGACACCAATATTTTACTATTTAATAAACTTTTAAAGTACCTACCTAATATACTACACAATAAATATAACTCCTCGAATATGCACTACCACTACCAAATTGTAAGGCACAAACATGAACACCTACTCGTATATCAGAAAAGAGCACTTATACAAAAAAGTGTTTATAAAATATAAAATAATTATCGTAAATAGTTAAAGCGATACAAATCTAATTTCGTCGATAGTTAGTTTTCAACTGTCTTTGTGCCTGTGCTGACAATATTCAATATGTAACCCTTCTTTCGTTTATTTACTTGAAACACATTTTAAAACCATTAAACACAGATAACGAAGTAATTAGGGAATACATATATTCATTTCTAGAAAACTATCAAAAACGTATATTTAACGCATCATCTTTGTTTAAATAAAGATGTTGACAAACAAATTTAATAAAGTTTACTAACAAATACCTAATAAATAATAAAATAATTATTTGGTATTTGATACGCCGCCTATGCTAACTCTGTCAGAATTTTCATTCATAGACAACAGTGTTGATCATGCATATGACTCACTTTCTCCAATATTTTGTCCGAGTATAGGTATAATTGGTTCATTTTCCAATAGTAAATTAGGTTGCGTATTCTGAGTTAAATTTTAGAAATATTTTCCAAAGCAGATGTAAGAAATTAATTTCCAGGCTCATAGGATAGAGAATTTATTAATTCCACGAGATTTTGAATTCGTGTTTGCGCTAAGCGGCGTCTTTTGTGGTGAAAGAAAAATAAAATTGGGAATTGAATAAAAATACAAACACTAAAAAATTCATTAAAAACGCTAAAAATTATACACAAAGTCACTTGCAGCCGAACTTGAGAGTTATTTAAAGGGCTCCATGACAAAACAGCGCCGAACAAAATGGCGCAGGACAAAAGAGCGCTCACAAAATTGCGCGAGACAAAATAGCGCAGGAACAAAATAGCGCAAGGGCAAAGTAGCACAGAAAAAATAGCGCACCGAAATATGTTTTTTAATTATTATAATTCATTGAAATACTGTTCCGACAACGCCTATGAAGTGAATGTTTGGAGATATGTAACATAGTTGGATTTTTAAAATTTTTCTGATTTTAGGTATGCACTATAATTTTTTTAAGCAAGCCGCTTTGGCTCCAGATCGCCCAGGTTAGGTAAATTAGTTAAAAAAATTTTGATTTTACTTAAAATACTAGCACGTTTTTCCTGATGGATGGATCTATTGTGGCTCATGTCTAACTTATAGTTCACCGTAGTTGAATTGGGTAAGACTTGTTTAAAGTCGCTAGGCTCTAGTCGGGTAAATCTGACCTATCCTTCCCAGATCTGAGCAGAGCCGTTAATGAAAGGGATGGGTATAAACGCTTTCGAATGAGTTAACCTTGGGATATATCTCCAGTTCAAAGAATGATACTTCCCCTGTCCATTTTGAGATAATTCCTTCAGTGCTCTTAGCATTGCCCATGAATGGCTCTTGTCTTAACAATTCAGATTAAGGGCTGGTAATTTTACATTGAAAATGTCACAGTCAGGGTAAAACTTATTATGGTTTAGGCAAATAGTCAGAAAATGCCCTTTGTCCACAATTGCTTCGATGTTTTTTAAAGTAGAACTGAGAAGTATGACATGTAGGAGTAGAAGTCAGTAAGGTGATCTTTTCCAAAAAAATGTTGCACGAGATCTCTCCATTGAGTCGTTTAAAAAGGAACAAAGGAATAGATTGATTCCTTCATACTTAAAGTGACTGCATACCATACCACATAACATACGCGTTTCATATTAAGTATTTTGGTATTGAAAACGACGAAGTTTCGTTTTACCTGTTTAATTTTGTTGATGTGGCCTGTGTTCATTGGCATCAAGATCATAAATCGAACAATAAAGGGACATAATGGTATTGGTATCATAAATCTAACAAGTGTGGCATTGGATGACACCAAGCATTCTAAATGTTTTGCAAATAATAGACTCGACATGTTTTAGGTCGTCTGCAAACAAAAGATAGCAACACTGTTTAAGAAGCAACTTGTTACGACGTTTATAAACAATAAAAAT